TGTGTGTGTGTGTGTGTGTGTTGTGTGTGTGTGTGTGTGTGTGCGTGCGTGCGTGCGTGCGTGCGTGCGTGCGTGCGTGCGTGCGTGCGTGCGTGCGTGCGTGCGTGCGTGCGTGCGTGCGTGCGTGCGTGCGTGTGTGTGTGTGTATGTGTGTGTGTGTGTGCGAGTGTGTGCATGCGTGTGCCGTGCATGGGTTGCGCGTGGGTGAAGGGAGGGATGAAGTGAAGGAGGGGAGGAAGGAGGAGGGAGGGGAGGTGGGTGAGGAGGAGACGCGGGTGCGACGCGGCAGGGATGAACGCGAGACGCAGAGGGAGGAGGAGAAGAAGGTACGCGGGTGAGACGCGGCAGATAAGAAAACCAGAACCCCACGAAACATGTCGGAAACACCTGCAAAACACCTTGGGAAATCAATGAAGTTGGTTTCCTGATGCCCTCTCGGTGGCTTTCTTGACGGCATCTGGAGCCGTCTCGAGACTCTCTTGGATCGTCCGGAAGCTATCTGGAGCGCGTTCTTTTATGTTCGGCGATGACGGGCGTCATGGGGGGGGGGGAGGGCGGGGGGGGGTATGACGTGACGCCCCCCCCCCGCCGTGTGGCTCCGGCACCACAGCCGCGCCCGCGCGCACGACGCGACGAGCGACGAGCGACGAGCGACGACGACGACGCGAGCAGCATGTAAGTGGCGATCTGCCCATTGCGCCTGTGTACACCACAACGCTCGCGTGCACCACACCGCGCGTGTGCACCACAGCGCCTGCGTACAACGCAACAGCCGTGTGTAACGCACCGCCCGTGCATACCACAACACTTGGGAGCACTACAGCGCTGGTGCACATGGACCGCAGCAGCCATGTGCAACACAACGCCTGTGTACACCACTGTGCTTGCGTGCGCCGCAGCGCCTGTGCACGCCACAGCGCCTGTCTACACCACAGCATCTGCGTGCAACGCAGCGCTGGTGTACACCACAGTGCCTGCGTGCATAGGACAGGTAGAAGGAGCATGTACGTCAAAATCTGCTGCGGACAACTAAACGCCACGCCAGGAAAGTTCTGAGAATCGAATGCGCCGTTTTTCCCTCCTCCCTCCTCCTCCACCTCCTCCTCCTCCTCCTCCTCCTCCTTCTCCTCCTTTTCCTCCTTCTTACCCCTTGTCGTGCGACTTGGCGTTACAACGCACGTGCGCATCTCAGCGTGCACCGCAGAATGGTCGATTTAATCGGTCCACTCGGTTTTCGGACGGCCAGTTTAGCTGGAACCTCCTGGTTGCAAATGGGAGTTAGGGTGATGCGGGCGGACTCGGGGGGACTCATAGATTCCAGCGGCGCTCCTTCGTCAATGAGGATTTGGTTTCCATTGTTTTCTCTGGAATCCACACGCGCTCCATTTTGTCACAAGGATTCCTTCTGACATTCTATACACAACAATGGTGCTGTGTTGCACACGGCTGATGTGGTGCACACGCGCGCCGTGGCGTACACAGGCACTGCAATGCACGCAGGCATTGTGGTGTACACTGGTGCTGTGTTGCGCACGGCTGATGCGGTGTACGGACGCGCTGTGGTGTACACAGGAGCTGCTGTGCCCGCAGGCACGGTGGAACAAACTGACGCTGTGTTGCACGCGGCTGCTGTGGTGTGCATCGGCGGTGTGGTGTACACAGGCGCTGTGGTGCACGCGGGCACTATGATGTACAAAGGCGTTGTGGTGCATATCGCCACCTACATGTTCGTGCTACCCGTCCTCCGTCATTCCTGAGCATTCCCAGACGCCGCCAGCGCGAAACGTGACTTTATCGACCACCTCCCCCCCGAAATTATTGCCGTCATCGGCCCGGACTTAAAAACAGGTTCCACCCGCGTCCGCGCGCAAGACGACGATGAGCGACGAGCGACGAACCACGAGCGACGACGACGGACGACGACGACGACGACGACGACGACGACGACGACGACGACGACGACGACGACGACGACGACGCCTGCGGACCAGACACCTATGCGGATTCCTACGCGGACACCTACGCGGATCCCAATGCGCACGGCGGCAGTGCCCGGAGCGCACTGGGGGGGGGGGGGGCGTTACGTCATAGGGGGGGGGGAGCGGGGGCCATGACGCCCGTCATGCCCCAAGCAATAAAAAAACGGGTTCCTGAAGCGTTCTTGGGGCCGTCTTGGGGCCCTCTGAAGCTGTTTTGGGGCCCTCTGAAGCCGTTTTGGGGCCCTTGGGCCGCGTCACTCGAAAACATACGAGGAAACGGGCCATGGGAGCCGCCCGGGAGTCGCTTCACTCGAACAAAAACAAGGGAAAAGGGCAAATTGATGATTGTTCCCCCGCCAGCCCCCTCCCCCAGACCCCTCCCTGGAAGGGCTTCGCCCCTTGCGAATCGTCTCTCGCCCGTACCTCGCTTTTTCCGTCATCTGGGCCACGGGCACCCCCCACCCCCCCTTGTTATTTCTCCCCACTAACGGATCGCGACGCTACGCGGGCTTTCCGACATCTGGGGCCGCGCCTGCCTACCCCACCACCCCCCTGTGTCATCTCTCCCGACCAGCGGATCGCGACGCTACGCGTGCTTTCCGTCATCTAGGACTGGGGCTGCCTACCCCGCACACACACACACACACACACACACACACGCCCTTGTCATTTCTCCTGGCTAACGGATCACGGCGCTTCGCGCGCTTTCCGTCATCTGGGCCTCCCGAGGGCCACCCCCTCACACTCCCCTTTTTGATTCTCCCAACTAATAGATCGCGACACTACGCGTGCTTTCCGTCAGTTGGGGCCGCCGAGGCCAACCCCCGCACACTCCCCCGTCATTATTTGTCCCGGCTAACGGATCGCGACGCTACGCGCGCCTTCCGTCATCTGGGGCGGATCCTGCCAACCCCCTCACGCTCCCACGTGATATGTTTTCCCCCCAACTAACGGATCGCGACGCTACGCGCGCTTTCCGTCATCCTCCGTCCCCCGATGATTTATCACAAGGGTGCCCGGCGTGCTGAACGTCTGACAGATTTGGGCTCTTTTCACAAACTCTCCATGGGGCTTCGGCCAACTGCGCCGGCCACCTGGGATGCTTGCCCAGAGGTGGTTGGCAAGAATTCGTCCGTTCCAGATGTGTCCAAGATGGCCCAAGATGGCCTGCAGGACGGCAAGATGGCCTCCAAGTTCGCCAAATAGGGTCTAAGATGGCCTCCTAGACGGCCCAAGAGGGTCAAGGACGCCTCGAAGTCCGACCAGTCCAAGAGGCCTCTAAGACAGCCCAAGACGGCCCAAGAGGCCTTCAAGAGGCCTTCAAGACGGCTCAAGAGGCATCCAAGAGGTCCTCCAGGAGGGCTCGAAGAGGTCAATATCATTGATTTCCCTTACGTGTTTGCAGAATTCTGATCGTTGCATCTGTTCGGCCTTCCGACGGCACAAAATGGCCAAGGAGGCTCCCAAGATCGCCCCAAAGGCCTCCAAGATGACCCTATAACGGCCCAAGAAGCCTCCAAGACGGCCCCAAGAGGGCCTCAAGACGACCCAAGAGGCCTCCGAGACGACCAGACTAACCCACCAAAACTGCCCTGAAGGGCCCTAAGAGGGCTCCAAGTCGGTGCAGAAAGGCATCCAAGACACCTTCCGACGGCGTCAGGCGGGCCAGGAACGCTTCAAATCGGCCAAAGAGGCCCCAAGAAGCCTCAAAAAGTCCCAAAGATGCTCACGCGGAAGCTTCCAAGAGGCCTCCGAGAGACCCACAGTAGACGAGCGCGTTCCACTACTCGCAAAATAACTACTCGCAAACGGCCTGGATTCGCCGCGGGGGATCTACGATACATTACATCGAAGCAGACATATGTTTTTCGGACGTTTGCGAGTAGGTACTTTGCGAGTAGTTGAACGCGCTCGGTGACACAAGAAACTCCCAGAAAGCCCCAAGATTTCTCCTCCTCCTCCTCATTATCATCATCAGCCTCCTCCGCTTCTGCTTCCTCCTCCTCCTCCTCCTGGTCCTACTCCTGCTCCTGCTCCTGCTCCTCCTCATGCATCTGTTCCTGCTCCTGCTCCTGCTCCTGCTCCTGCTCCTGCTCCTGCTCCTCCTCCTCCTCCTCCTCCTCTCTATTGTTCTTCCCTGTCCTCCGCTTCGTCTTCCCCCCCCACGTGCTCTCCGAAGGGTCTCCACAATGGCTGGGGGAACGCATGGTTCGATAGATTGGCAGAGCTCTGGCCACAACGTTCGGCCACATGGGCGATTCCCAAAGGGCCTTTCACAATGTTTACAACAAGGGCTGCGTGAGAAGTGCCGTTGTCTGGCCTCGGTCTCTGAGGCCTGTGGAAATCTTTGGAGGACACCAGGAGCTCCCGAGGTCCCCCGATCCCTGAGCCCCTCGAGGGTCCAAAGAGAGCCGCGGGCACCCAGAATCCAGAATCCTCAAACAGCCGCCATCGTCGTGGTGGCCGTGGCCGTGGCCGTGGCCGTGGCCGTGGCCGTGGCCGTGGTCCTGGTCGTGGTCGTGGTGGTGACCGGGGTCGTGGTCGTGGTCGTGGTCGTGGTCGTCCTCGTGGTTGTCGTCGTCCTCATGGTCACGATTGCCGTCGCCGCCGCCATCATTGCCGTGGTCGTGGCCATGGTCCTCGTCGCCGAGGTGACTTGATTGACTGACGCCCGCCCCGCCGCCTCGCCGCCTAGCAGACCTGCGGCGCTGTCACCACCACCGCTGGAGTCGTCGTCGGTCGTCGTCCTCGTCGTCGTCGTCGTCGTCGTCGTCATGGCCACCGCTGTCTCGGAACAAAACACATTGAAACAACGGCAGCTCAAAATCGGTCCCGGGAGCCCTCCCGGGGTCCGAACGTAAGAATTTTCCGAGCTGCGTCTAGCCGTGGCGACGAGGGATCTCCCGAAGGCCAACTACCGTTGTTTCGAGTCTCAACTCGCCCTGCTCTGACTGCCGTCGTGGCCGAGGCCGCGAGCTTCTTGGCCGCTGTCGCCGTCGTGAGCAACGCGGGCCCCTCCGCCTCGCCGCCCGGCAGGCCCGCGGCGCCGTCCCCCATCCGCGGCGGCGAGCGGAGCCTGGCCATCTCGGATGGGGTTGGGTGTTGCTTGATGGGTGGGCGGTAAGTGACGGGGGGGGCGAAGATACGAGCACCGTTCTTGCCACTTTTGGGCCCCCCTTGCGCGAAGATGCGTACACCTTCCGTGCCCCTTTTGGCCCCCAGGGGGGCCCACCTAGGGCCCCTGAAACCCTTGTGGTGGCGAGCACACAAGGGTAGGAGGAGGGGGAAGGCTTCTTAGAGGGACGCTGCTTCGTAGAAGCGCGGGCCTCACATCTAATTATAGATGAGGCCCACGCCATCTAAGAAGCAGGGTGTTTCTAAGAGGTCTTCCACCCTCTCCCTACTCCCCTCTGCGCGTGGCTGACCGTTCTTGAGCTTGTTTTTTGTATTATTCGCGATAACAGGCGTGATCAGGGGAATGGGGGGGAGTTTGTCCCCCCCGATTACATCCAGGTGGGGGGCTGCCGGAGATCTTGGGAAATCCTCGAGGAATCCGCAGGACATCTTTGCAAATGTGGGCAAAATAGCGTGACGTGATCCGGGGGTGGGGGAGGAAAGGGTCGATCACAGCCGCTATCGGCCCCTTGACCCCCGATGACGCAACGCCCGATGGGTCGTCCACACGGTGCCGCCGGGGCGCCGGCGGGCGGGCCGGCGGCCGCTGGCGGCAGGGCGGCGAGAAAAGGCACACACAGCACGCGCGCGCTCGGCCCAGCGTGCATGGCAATGACGACGCCGCCGGAGCCGACGGCTCCGTCGTGGAACTCTCACACTGCATCCTCCTCCTCCACCTCCTCCTCTTCCATCTCCTCCTCCTCCTCCTCCTCCT